CACATCTGAACCCCTCCCTCCCCTGGTGCCTCCCACCTCCCTTACATCTGAACCCCTCCCCCTCACCTCCCTCACACCTGAACCCCTCCCCCTCACCTGACCCCATCACACCTGTTGCTTTCTCCTGGTGACCTTTGACCTCTTGGGACTATACGTAAAAGTCACCTGTTGACCCATCACTACCTATACATATATTCAGTAGGTCTCTCTCTCTCTCTCTAATAGAGGTTGTCAGCACTTCTATAGACTGACTGGCAGGTACTGCACATACATACATACATACATACATACATACATACATACACACACATACACACACACAGACACTGATATGGGCGTTTTTGTGAGGTGCCATCAACACATACACACTAGTCAATGAGTTTAGCGCAAAGTTTTCTCTCTGTTCTGATTGGCTGGCAACAGAATGTCTTTCCCGTTGTGGCAATCAACAGGAGGTTAATGTGTCTGTCTGTTAGCGGGTCAACAGACAGACAGACAAATATATAGAGAGAATTGAGGAGGAGAGAGAGAGAGAGAGAGAGAGAGAGAGAGAGAGAAAGAGAGAGAGAGAGAGAGAGAGCAAACCTAATATAATCGTTCTGCTCAGTCACACATCAACGAGGTTTGGCTGTAGTTAATCCTGTGAGGGAGGGAGGAGGTGGGGCGAGGAATGAAGCAGGGAGGGAAGAAGAAGAAGAAGAATGGAAGAAGAAATTATTAAACAGCAACAACAATAAAACAAAAACATGAACAAATAAACAGGAAGAAAAGAAGGAAGAGGAAGAGGAAGAAGAAGCGAGGCATCATTACAGGTTGAGAAAGATCATTATATGAAGGGCGTGAGGGGGGGGCAGGGGGGCAGGAGGGAGGGGGGGGCAGGGAGGAGGGGGGGCGCAGGGGGAGGAGGGGGGCAGGAGGAGGGGGAGCCTTGGGGGAGGGGAGAGGGAGGCAGGAGGAGGGGCAGGGAGGAGGAGGCAGGAGGAGGGCAGGGAGGAGGGGGGCTGAGGGAGGGGGCAGGAGGAGGGGCAGGAGGAGGGGGGGCAGGGAGGAGGGGGCAGGGAGGAGGGCAGGGAGGAGGGGGCGGGAGGAGGGGGCAGGGAGGAGGAGCAGGAGGAGGGGGGCAGGGGAGGAAGGGGGCAGGGAGGGAGGGGGAGCTGGGGAGGAGGGGGCAGGAGGAGGGCAGGGGAGGAGGGGGCAGGGAGGAGGATTGGGCAGGGAGGAGGGGGAGCAGGGAGGAGGGGGCAGGAGGAGGGGCAGGAGGAGGGCAGGGAGGGGGCAGGAGGAGGGGCAGGGAGGGAGGGGGGCAGGGGAGGAGGGGGCAGGGAGGAGGGAGGAGGAGCGTGAGGAGAGGAAGGAGACGTCTGGTACCATAAAGTAGGTAGGTACCCTGGGGTGAGAGATGGTACCTGGTGACACGCATACCAATGTTACCAAGCTAGTACTATGTGACCTGCACGTAATGTAGGGGCGGGTACCAAGTGCATAGTACCACTCAAGTACCACTGAGATACCATTCTTATTACTGTATGGTACCGTTGATATACCACTGTGGTACCATTGTGATGACTATACGTATGGTACAATTGAGATACCATTGTTGTAACTGCCACTCTAGTACCATTGTCATACCACTAGGGTACCACTGTGTTAACTCCTATGGTGGGAAGCTTAATTTGGTACGGTGAGAGAATCAACATTTACAAGTAGAAAAACTGATTGCTGACGTCACTAAACAAACACACACACACACACACACACGAACAATGACAACAAAACAGTAGAAAGAAGCAAAAACAAACAAACAAACAGGAGTGAGGGTGGATGAGAAAGGCGACACCACTCGGTTGGACGGACGGACAGAGGGATGGAATTTCCAACACGAATATTTAACACCTATAGTACAGAGTTATGTGGTCTCTCTCTCTCTCTCTATAACACACACACACACACACACACACACACACACACACACACACACACATATAATCACTCTTAAAGCCCAATTAAAGACAAACAGACAGACAGACACAGACACTTTCTCTCCGTGTTATAGGGGGGGGGGGAGGGACACCTTTCTTATCCCTCGCATTAAAGGACTTGAATGCTCACATGTTTGGTTGGTGACCGCACGTGAGATAAAGGGGTCGTTTGTGTGTGTGAGAGAGAGAGAATTATTAGTGATTGTTAGTGATTGTAAGTGATTGTAAGTACTAGACGTAAGCTGACTATTGCTTTCAACGGTATTATAGTCAATTACTTCCTTTAGGTGCCGTTTTATACCAGTTGAAGCTGCACTGCCTCTCTCTCCCTCTGTACCTAATGATAGTCATATTAATTAGCAATATTAAACTGCATTTTCTTTCTATATAATATTCTTTTACATTCTATTGCAAATCGTAAGTCAAAATGTTGCAAAAATTATTGCAACATTGTAATTAAGGTATATCTATACCTGTATTAGCATTAGTAGTAGTAGTAGTAGAATTTGTCAACTTACTCCAGTACTGTGTTTTTCAATCCGCAGTTGTTGCAATCATTTCAGACCACGTATTGCAACAGAGATGAAACATGCACACAGACACGCACACAACCAGACCATAATGATGAGACTGTTGCAGATCTATCATGATGCAACATTGAAGGCAAATTGAAAAAGGTAGAGTCTCAGTGTTAATATTGTCTCCTAACTGGTACTAAGTGAAGGTATCTAGTTAAGGTAGAGTCTCAGTGTTAATATTGTCTCCTAACTGGTACTAAGTGAACGTGTCTAGTTAAGGTAGAGTCTCAGTGTTAATATTGTCTCCTAACTGGTACTAAGTGAAGGTATCTAGTTAAGGTAGAGTCTCAGTGTTAATATTGTCTCCTAACTGGTACTAAGTGAAGGTATCTAGTTAAGGTAGAGTCTCAGTGTTAATATTGTCTCCTAACTGGTACTAAGTGAAGGTATCTAGTTAAGGTAGAGTCTCAGTGTTAATATTGTCTCCTAACTGGTACTAAGTGAAGGTATCTAGTTAAGGTAGAGTCTCAGTGTTAATATTGTCTCCTAACTGGTACTAAGTGAAGGTATCTAGTTAAGGTAGAGTCTCAGTGTTAATATTGTCTCCTAACTGGTACTAAGTGAAGGTATCTAGTTAAGGTAGAGTCTCAGTGTTAATATTGTCTCCTAACTGGTACTAAGTGAAGGTATCTAGTTAAGGTAGAGTCTCAGTGTTAATATTGTCTCCTAACTGGTACTAAGTGAAGGTATCTAGTTAAGGTAGAGTCTCAGTGTTAATATTGTCTCCTAACTGGTACTAAGTGAACGTGTCTAGTTAAGGTAGAGTCTCAGTGTTAATATTGTCTCCTAACTCGGAATTGGGACCCATTCAAAAAGGGGCTTATCAGGACTGGGTGACTGGGCCCTGTTAGGATTGGGGCCCATATACCGAGGGCCTAATGAGTCTGGGGCCTTATACACAGTAATGGGTATGTCACACTTCACCTTAAAGGCATTTATTCTGCTTGTTGACTTATTGTGTGTGTGTGTGTGTGTGTGTGTGTGTGTGTGTGTGTGTGTGTGTGTGTGTGTGAGAGAGAGAGAGGATAGAAAAGAAAAAGTGAAAGGGATAGACAGTAAAAGAGAAAGAGAGAGAGAGAAAATAAAGCAAGGAAAGTGAAAGTAATGACCCAGTAAACCCATTTCTTTTCGCCTGCACTCTCTATATACAGTGTTTATATACCTGCACTCTCTATATACAGTGTTTATATACCTGCACTCTCTATATACAGTGTTTATATACCTGCACTCTCTATATACAGTGTTTATATACCTGCACTCTCTATATACAGTGTTTATATACCTGCACTCTCTATATACAGATAGTTTATACACTCCTCTATATACAGTGTTTATATACCTGCACTCTCTATATACAGTGTTTATATATGCACTCTCTATATACAGTGTTTATATACCTGCACTCTCTATATACAGTGTTTATATACCTGCACTCTCTATATACAGTGTTTATATACCTGCACTCTCTATATACAGTGTTTATATACCTGCACTCTCTATATACAGTGTTTATATACCTGCACTCTCTATATACAGTGTTTATATACCTGCACTCTCTATATACAGTGTTTATATACCTGCACTCTTTAACTAGTGTGGTGTTGATATATAAATTATTTTGCAATGTTAATGCAGAGAAGCAGACGAAAGGAAACCATACAAATCCGTACACGAAGTTCCTGGGTTTCGCTACCATCCCCACATAACGAATATACATTAATTACTCACCAAAATCACGATAAAATCCTGATAAATACATTCAATAAGTATATCTTCATATATTCCGTTATATCATGTTATTTACGGAGTATTACAAAAAACGTCACTAGGAAAGGGAAGATTTAAGGGGTAACTATACTATTTTGTTCTCACTGTTGTATCTGTCGCATTCTGACTCGGCCTTTAAAGAGGACTTATAAGTGGCTTCCCTCAGCAGCGCGTTGGTGTGTGTGTGTGTGTGTGTTCCTCATTGTGTTGTTTTGTTGAATTTCCGCCTTTTTGCTTCTATCATTGAGCTATTTATCACCTTTATCTCTCTGTATTTTGTTTATTTTAATATTTGTTCTGTGTCTTCCTTCCTCTTTCTCTCTTATCCCCTCCCTTCCTCTCTCTCTCCATCTCCTCGCCTTCTTTCTCCCTTTCTATGACTATTTAACCCCCTCCCCCTCTGCACTGCGCTAATTTCTTTCTGTAAAATACAAAATTCTTTTATACCACAGTTAGGAATATTTCTTTACTGTACCTTATGATACAGTCACCACCTGGATATTACTGTACCTGTACCTACTAGAGTGTATCAAGAGTATGTTATATGTGTGAGTGCATGAATGCAAGTGACAAAAACCGCGAGAACTTATCTAACACACTCACGGCTTCCATAACAAGATCACATACCACCTTTTCTGGGATAAAGAGAAGAGCTACACAGTCTCCCTCTCAGGTAATTCCTTGACGTACACACACACAGGCACCAGCCACGGTCAGTCGCTCCCATGATTACCCCAGTAAAAGTGTTCAAGAAATCCGCGCCAAATGGTAAGTAATGTTGTGGGCATTGTTGTTGTTGTGGGTACTGTTGTTGTGGGTACTGTTGTTGTGGGTACTGTTGTTGTTGTTGTGGGTACTGTTGTTGTTGTGGGTAGTGTTGTTGTGGGTACTGTTGTTGTTGTGGGTAGTGTTGTTGTGGGTACTGTTGTTGTTGTGGGTATTGTTGTAGTTGTTGTGGGTACTGTTGTTGTTGTGGGCATTGTTGTTGTTGTGGGCATTGTTGTTGTTGTGGGTAGTGTTGTTGTGGGTACTGTTGTTGTTATTAAGGTGGTGTTGTTATTTGTGGGTGGTGTTGTTGTGGAGTACTGTTGTTGTGGGTACTGTTGTTGTTGTTGTGGGTCCTGTTATTGTTGTGGGTAGTGTTGTTGTGGGTAGTGTTGTTGTTGTGGGGAAGTTATAGTGTTTGTTAACCTGTACCGTCTTTGCGTGAGCTCATTCAAGACCAGGATTGACCAACGCTGGAAGAGGTACAGATACATTCAGGAGCCAGTACTTGCCAACAGTGTGTAACAGAGCCAGTACTTGCCAACAGTGTGTAACAGAGAGCCAGTACTTGCCAACAGTGTGTAACAGAGCCAGTACTTCAACAGTAATAGAGAGCCAGTACTTACAACAGTGAATAGAGAGCCAGTACTTGCCAACAGTGTAACAGAGCCAGTACTTGCCAACAGTGTGTAACAGAGAGCCAGTACTACCAACAGTGTAACAGAGAGCCAGTACTTGCCAACAGTGTGTAACAGAGCCAGTACTTGCCAACAGTGTATGAGCAGTACTTGCCAACAGTGTGTAACAGAGAGCCAGTACTTGCCAACAGTGTGTAACAGAGAGCCAGTACTTGCCAACAGTGTGTAACAGAGTCAGTACTTGCCAACAGTGTGTAACAGAGAGCCAGTACATGCCAACAGTGTGTAAATAGAGAGCCGTACATGCCAACAGTGTGTAACACAGAGAGCCAGCATGCCAACAGTGTGTAACAGAGAGCCAGTACATACAACAGTGTAATAGAGAGCCAGTACATGCCAACAGTGTAACAGAGCCAGTATACATGCTAACAGTGTGTAACAGAGAGCCAGCATATTGCAGTGTGTAACAGAGAGAGCCAGTACATGCCAACAGTGTGTAACAGAGACCCAGTACATGCTAAATAAAAATAGAGCCAGTACATGCCAACAGTGCACAGGAGAGCCAGTACATGCTAACAGTGTGTAACAGAGACCCAGCACATGCCAACAGTAACAGAGAGCCAGTACATGCTAACAGTGTGTAACAGAGAGCCAGTACATACAGTGTAACAGAGAGCCAGTACATGCCCAGTACTTACCAACAGTGTAACAGAGCCAGTACATGCCAACAGTGTGTAACAGAGAGCCAGTACATGCCAACAGTGTGTAACAGAGAGCCAGTACATGCCAACAGTGTGTAACAGAGAGCCAGTACTTGCCAACAGTGTGTAACAGAGAGCCATTACTTGCCAACAGTGTGTAACAGAGAGCCAGTACATGCCAACAGTGTGTAACAGAGCCAATACTTGCCAACAGTGTGTAACAGAGAGCCAGTACATGCCAACAGTGTGTAACAGAGCCAGTACTTGCCAACAGTGTGTAACAGAAAGCCAGTACATGCCAACAGTGTGTAACAGAGAGCCAGTACTTGCCAACAGTGTGTAACAGAGAGCCAGTACATGCCAACAGTGTGTAACAGAGAGCCAGTACATGCCAACAGTGTGTAACAGAGCCAGTACATGCCAACAGTGTGTAACAGACGTGACCACCGGCCCAAGAGGCTAACAGACCGATCAGTGACGAGAGACTAAATAAAGTAATGTTGTATATGTTGAATTTATATAAACTTTTTCGACAATTTTATTAAAATAATATATACTTACTTATCTATCTATGTATCTATCAATGGCCAAATCTAGTTACCAAGTTAAAATAATAACGTAGTGTTCCATTAAAATTATTAATTTTCTTTGAGACGGAAAGCTTCTCAGGGTAGCTTAAATAATATCTTTACTCTTTACCGTCAATAGTATAATGAATCAAGACATACATCAAACTTACCTGTATTAAATAGCATACATATTTTACCTAATTAGTAACTCAGTGTTATGACAAAAAGGTCGAGGAGATGTAATGACCTCAGAGTTTACGAGCAAAAGATTATTTATTTACTAATCATCCCTAACCTAACGTAACCTGACCTAACCTTTGTTTATGTTTCCACAGGTAAGTTGACAGCGTACCTAAGTCAGCGGGATTTCGTCGACAACATAACCCATACGGCTCCGGTAGATGGCGTGGTCGTTGTGGACAATGACTACCTTCACGGCAGGAAGGTGTTCCTTCGCTTGGCCGTCACCTACCGCTATGGGCGCGAGGAGGACGAGGTTATGGGACTCCACTTCAGCAAGGAGATGGAGCTGGTCAAGTGGGAGGTGGTGCCCAAGGCTGAGGACGACCAACTGACGGATACAGTGATTCGTCTGTTGCAGAAGTTGGGGAATGAGGCGAGACCCTTCAGTGTTAAACTACCGCAGAACGCCCCTTCCTCTGTCACCCTTGAACCCGGAGCTGAGGGCACGGTGAGTCATAACCTTTGACCTGTCTTGACCTAATAAACAAACAAGTTACTCGTTAACCACCTCATTGTGTGGGGAGGGGGAGGGGGGTGCACTTGGTTTTTTTGAATGGTAAATAAGCGAGTTATTGTTTATTAGTTTGAAAAGTTACTTAATAAAGTTTGTCACACAGAACAAGAAACTCGGGGTGACCTACGACCTGATGTTTTACGTGGCAGACAACGAGGAGCTGACACACCGGCGTAACTCTGTCAACCTCGCTGTCCGTAAGATCCAATACGCCCCGGAGAAACCTAACGGACGTCAGCCTCAGATCATCGTCACCAGGAGCTTCACCCTTCATCCTGGGAAGCTGAAACTCGAGGTGTACCTTGAACGTGATATATACTTCCACGGTCAGTCCCTCCAACCTCACGTGAAAGTGACCAACGCCTCCAAGAAGACCGTCAAGTATATCTTAGCTCAGGTCATACAACACGTCGACATCACAATGACTAACACCAGTCTGAGTCGCATCGTCGCCTCTATCGAGTCCCGTGAAGGCTGCCCCATCACCCCTAACACTAACTACTCCAGGTCGATCGTCCTTACACCCCTAGCCTTCAGGGCCTTTGGGGTGGCCCTTGATGGTCAAATCCAAGACAAAGATGCTAACTTAGCCTCCTCAACTATGGTCACCGCCAGTAACAGCATCGGGGACGCCTTAGGGATCATCGTTTCATATACCTTACGTGTTAAACTCAACTGTGGTGCATTAGGGGGAGAATTAACTACCCAATTGCCCTTTAAGTTGATGCATCCCCAACCGTCCTCCTCTGACAGTAAACCGACGCTGAGTAAGACACAGTCAGTGGATGATAACCTGGAGATAGAGGAGTTTAATGTACTGAGGCGAGGACAGTCTGTTACTGATGAGCTGGACGACTGATGTACCGGACTCCTCTATAACCTAATCTAACCTGACTCGCCTAAACTATAACCTAACTTAACCTGACCTTCTCTTAACTTTAGTTATTCTAAGTTAACTACAGCTGTCCTAACTTAAACATATTAACCCAAATCAATATGTTATACTTAATTTAACCTATCCTTACTAAACCTAGCCGAACTCAACCTATCCTATATTAGCTTAACTTGACCTAGAAATTAAGGACCCACTCGTAATTAACACTACCAGCTTCTTAACCTCTCTGCTACATCCCCCTAACTTAGTATTGGTGAAAACTATAATAACTTCTACATTAAAGACCATTTACCTATCAATGTAGTAAAGTTAATGACATTTGAGCTTGCATATATTCTTAAAGCCAATTAACTTATGTAGTGAAAGTTAATGGATATTCTCTATAATTTTGCGCATTAAACTTCATAACGGAAAATTAATACAGTCAGCCTCTGTAACTTGTTTATCATATTAAAGTAAATTGATATATTTGTATTTTCGTCAACTGTAACTTACGAATTATCGACAAGTTAATAAACGTTTTCTTTGCTTGTTTTTCCAGTTTCCTCTTCTCCCGTATTACCGTAAATATCGACAAGCTACAAGTCATATTAACTGGATAATTTCAAAAGTTAATGACAAAATTGGTTAATTAAGGAAGGATTATGTGACTACCTTGGCCAGCCAGTGTCCGTGGTCAACATCAATAACAACAAACACCATTGGTAATAATAATTAATAATAAATAAATAATAAAAGAAAGAAATAATAAATAAATAAATAATAATAATAATAATGGAAAATATACAAATAGTTATCAACCAATTCCTCCATAGTTGAGTTAATGGCCGCTGGTGCACTGCTGGACTCTTGCCCCGCATCACCTAGCTTCACAAATAGTCTCACAAAATGCAAAGTACATGAGGTAAATACATTTTCTATTACTTAACACACTAATAATAAGTTGCTTAAAGCAGTATAAATAATATTAATCGTTGTAGTTACATACTGTAAGCTCGTATGATGTAAATATAAATTGATACTTTATCGTAACTCAAGTAACTTCCAAGTGTTACAAAATTGATGCTGTATTTTGCTTCTTTGAGTCTTTGGAAAGCATTGATTTAGTTTATAAATACCTTTAAGAGTTGTTCTTGCTAGCTGTTGCAATGAGAAGGCTGCAAAATGTGTTATTACGAGTTGTTTGAAGATAGTGATGACGGACCCTGACACACAGTGGACAGCTGTTGGCGGGAGGGAGGCCATACTGTACATCTCTTACACTTAACAATATTATTCATTATTAACATTATTTATCCTCAATTACGAAGATAAAACAAAATATGAGGTACAATAGACTATATATATCAATGAATCGTGAAATTAAAAAAAAAAATTGTGATTAAATAAAACAATACATCTTTAGAAAGTTTATCTTGCCCCGGAGATTAGTTACCAAGTTGTTAAACATTGTTGAAGAGCAAACAGCGGCTCCCAGTGGCTGGTTAGGGTACACCGTCTGATGTATACTGTACTGTATGTATGTATGTATATATGTATGTATGTATTTATGTATGTATGTATCTCCAAATGTTAATCATTGTTTTTGCTTTCCTCTTCCTTTCTGTGTGTATGTGTGTGTGTGTACATGTGTTTATGTGCATATATTTGTGTGCGTAAACAATAGGAAAAATAAGTTATAAAAACAAGTTAATAATTAGTTTATTCATAAATACAGTAAACTTGATAAATAAAGTTAGTAAGGCGGATTATAATTACTGATTGGCGCGAACAAAACACTGGCACACGGTATGATACTGGGTCTTATAACTAACTGAGACAGACAGACAGATAAGGACGGAGAGAGAGACAGACAGATAAGGACGGAGAGAGAGAGACGATATCATTCAACTTTTTAACTTTAATAATTTTCCTCACTTTATTTAGTTTCAAATTTCTTCACTTTTCTTTCACTTTTTTCATCAAATTTCTTCACCTTTCTTCACTTGCTTCAATTTTCTTCACGTTTCTACAATTTCTAACACTCAACAGGTATGGTAGTGAACAAGAGGTAAAGTGTGTGGGAAGACTTAAACAAAGGGTATCCACTCTGGCAGACAGGTGGATCACTGCTACAGCTGGTGGAGGAGACAGACAGACAGACAGATAACTATAATTAATTATTATCACATACTGTATACATCAATACCTTACGATACTTTAGAATAATGTGTGTATGTATGTACTCCTGTATGTGTCACTTAGCATAACCTAATCTGGAGATGGACTCGCTAATCTTACTCCTGTATGTGTCACTTAGCATAACCTAATCTGGAGATGGACTCGCTAATCTTACTCCTGTATGTGTCACTTAGCATAACCTAATCTGGAGATGGACTCGCTAATCTTACTCCTGTATGTATGTCACTTAGCATAACCTAATCTGGAGATGGACTCGCTAATCTTACTCCTGTATGTATGTCACTTAGCATAACCTAATCTGGAGATGGACTCGCTAATCTTCACGTAAAATAATATATTAATTACAACAATTATAACTTATCAATTAATTATATATCAAATTATTTTTTTCGTTTTTATTTTTTTTTTACTCTTCTTATTTATTTATTTATTTTTGTTGTTTTTATTGAATCTTACGTGTGTGTTTGTCGTTCATTGAGATGTTTGCCTGTAGTGTCGGCCCCCGAAACGTCTCAACCCTGGACGCCTTCTTCTGCCTGGTCGACGTCGAGGCAGAAGGTACGGGTCGTCGTAGTAGTCAAGAGAGGTGTAAGGATCCAACACCTGAGGAGGAACACGTTAATTAGTGAGCTTCAGGTAGGTGTGTTGATCTACAGGTATATAAATAATGTAGGTTTAAGTTAGAGTTAAGTTAGGTTAGGTTAGGTGTAAAGGCACAAATGGTAGACACAAATGGTAGACAAATATATAGACAGAAATAGTGGACAGAAATGGAGAGAAGTGGCTCTGTTACTTACTCTATGGGGCAGTGTAGGAGGGCCATAGACGGGCAGGGAGTCTTGCACCCCATACACCCTCTGTGCTGCCCTGTATTGTGGGGGCGTGACCAAATAACCCCCAGAGGTAACATGGTGTGCAGGAGCTTGATACCCGGGTATAGTAGGCTCCTTGTATGTAGCAGCTGGAGCCTTATACTCTGGTTCAGGCTCCTTGTATGTAGCAGCTGGAGCCTTATACTCTGGTTCAGGCTCCTTGTATGTAGCAGCTGGAGCTTTATACTCTGGTTCAGGCTCCTTGTATGTAGCAGCTGGAGCCTTATACTCTGGATCAGGCTCCTTGTATGTAGCAGCTGGAGCCTTATACTCTGGTTCAGGCTCCTTGTATGTAACAGCTGGAGCCTTATACTCTGGTTCAGGCTCCTTGTATGTAGCAGCTGGAGCCTTATACTCTGGATCAGGTTCCTTGTATGTAGCAGCTGGAGCCTTATACTCTGGTTCAGGTTCCTTATAAGTAGCAGCTGGAGCCTTATACTCTGGTTCAGGTTCCTTATAAGTAGCAGCTGGAGCCTTATACTCTGGTTCAGGTTCCTTGTATGTAGCAGCTGGAGCCTTATACTCTGGTTCAGGTTCCTTATAAGTAGCAGCTGGAGCCTTATACTCTGGTTCAGGTTCCTTATAAGTAGCAGCTGGAGCCTTATAGTCCGGTTCAGGCTCCTTATATTCAGTCTTAGGAGGCTTATAATCATAACCCTTGGCAGGATGATCCGGAGCCTTATAGGATGGCTCTGGGGTATAAGGTTTGGGCGTGACGTACCCATACCCGGGGTCGGTTCCGTGTTCCGTATGTGGGTCTGTTGCCGGATACACGGTAGGATCCGGTTCATAAGGACTCTGGTGGTCACTATGATGTAACGCACCGTATGTCGAGACCTGTGGGGCGTGGCCGGATGGAGGCTTATATTCAATGTCATACTCGCGTGCCGGAGCCTTATAGTCGGATTCAGGAGCCTTATAGTCGGATTCAGGAGCCTTATAGTCGGATTCAGGAGCCTTATAGTCGGATTCAGGAGCCTTATAGTCATATCCTGCTTCTGGAGCCTTATATTCGGATTCAGGAGCCTTATATTCTGCCTCTGGAGCATGATACTCATCCTTGGGAGCCTCATAGCCCTTACTCAGGTAACGAGTCTTATATTGAGCATAATCATACAGGGGAACAAAGGTGACGTCATCAGAGTGAGGAGTAGTCGCTTTAGGGATGTAGTTAGGGTTAATGGTGGTGGAGTATGATGGGTCGTGTATAATATAACCGTGGGGATTAGTTTTACGGGATGGAGCCTTATACGTGGATTCCGGAGCCTTATATTCAGGTTCGGGAGCCTTATAAGCTGGTTCTGGGGCATGATATTCGGTTTTGGGAGCCTTATAGTCATATCCTGCTTCTGGAGCCTTATATCCTTCTTCTGGAGCCTTATATCCTGCTTCTGGAGCCTTATATCCTGCTTCTGGAGCCTTATATCCTGCTTCTGGAGCCTTATATTCTGGTTCAGGAGCCTTATAGTCATATCCTGCTTCTGGAGCCTTATATCCTTCTTCTGGAGTCTTATATCCTGCTTCTGGAGCCTTATATTCTGGTTCGGGAGCCTTATAAGCTGGTTCTGGGGCATGATACTCGGGTTCGGGAGCCTTATAATTATATCCTCCTTCTGGAGCCTTATATCCTGCTTCCGGAGCCTTATATGCAGGTTCGGGAGCCTTATAAGCTGGTTCTGGGGCATGATATTCGGGTTTGGGAGCCTTATAGTCATATCCTGCTTCTGGAGCCTTATATCCTTCTTTCTGGAGCCTTATATCCTTCTTTCTGAGCCTTATATCCTGCTTCTGGAGCCTTATATTCTGGTTCGGGAGCCTTATAAGCTGGTTCTGGGGCATGATACTCGGGTTCGGGAGCCCATAATTATATCCTCCTTCTGGAGCCTTATATCCTGCTTCCGGAGCCTTATATGCAGGTTCGGGAGCCTTTATAAGCTGGTTCTGGGGCATGATATTCGGGTTTGGGAGCCTTATATCACATCCTGCTTCTGGAGCCTTATATCCTTCTTTCTGGAGCCCTTCTTCTGGAGCCTTATATCCTGCTTCTGGAGCCTTATATCCTGCTTCCTGGAGCCTTATTCCTGGAGCCTTATATGCAGGTTCGGGAGCCTTATAAGCTGGTTCTGGGGCATGATATTCGGTTTGGGAGCCTTATAGTCATATCCTGCTTCTGGAGCCTTATATCCTTCTTTCTGGAGCCTTATATCTGGAGCCTTATATCCTGCTTCTGAGCCTTATATTCAGGTTCGGGAGCCTTATAAGCTGGTTCTGGGGCATGATATTCGGGGTTTGGGAGCCTTATAGTCATATCCTGCTTCTGGAGCCTTATATTCTTCTGAGCCTTATATCCTGCTTCTGGAGCCTTATATCCTGCTTCTGAGCCTTATCTGGTTCGAGCCTTATAAGCTGGTTCTGGGGCATGATACTCGGGTTCGGGAGCCTTATAATTATATCCTCCTTCTGGAGCCTTATATCCTGCTTCCGGAGCCTTATATGCAGGTTCGGGAGCCTTATAAGCTGGTTCTGGGGCATGATACTCGGGTTCGGGAGCCTTATAATTATATCCTGCTTCTGGAGCCTTATATCCTGCTTCCGGAGCCTTATAATCGGGTTCTGGAGCTTTATATGCGGGTTCTGGAGCCTTATAGTGATATCCTGCTTCGGGAGCCTTATATCCTGCTTCCGGAGCCTTATATTCAGGTTCAGGAGCCTTATAATCGGGTTCTGGAGCTTTATATGTGGGCTCTGGAGCCTTATACTCGGGTTCGGGAGCCTTATATGCAGGTTCTGGAGCCTTATATTCGGGTTCAGGAGCTTTATAGACATATCCTGCTTCTGGAGCCTTATAATCAGATTCTGGAGCCTTATAATCGGATTGTGGAGCCTTATAGTCGGATTCTGGAGCCTTATAATCGGATTGTGGAGCCTTATAATCAGATTGTGGAGCCTTATAATCAGATTGTGGAGCCTTATAGTCGGATTCTGGAGCCTTATAATCAGATTGTGGAGCCTTATAGTCGGATTCTGGAGCCTTATAATCAGATTGTGGAGCCTTATAGTCGGATTCTGGAGCCTTATAATCGGATTCTGGAGCCTTATAATCGGATTCTGGAGCCTTATAATCGGATTGCGGAGCCTTATAATCAGATTCTGGAGCCTTATAATCGGATTCTGGAGCCTTATAATCGGATTCTGGAGCCTTATAATCGGATTCTGGAGCCTTATAATCGGATTCTGGAGCCTTATATCCAGGTTCGGGCTCCGGGGCCGCGTAATCAGACTCGGGTTCCTTGTAAGTTGCCGTTGGTTGATGATGGACGGGTGGGGAGGGGTTGTAGCCTACGTGAGGGGCTAGGTAGTAGGAAGCAGCTTGAGGGGCTACGTATTGAGGAGTGACACCGTAGCCTGGAGTGACACCATAACCTGGAGTGACACCAAAACCGGGAGTGACACCGAAGGGAGGGGAGTAACCGGTATATACTGGAGCATTATATGTGTAGCCGGCTGGGTATGGTGCTGCGACAAGTTGGGGGTGTGGTGGTGGATGAGGAGCCGGTGGATGAACGGGTGTATGAGCAGCCACAACAACTGGATGAGAAGATGGTATGGCGTGGTGGGGTGTAGCGTGGTGTGGTGTGGTATGGTGGGGTGTAGCGTGGTGTGGTGTGGTATGGTGTGGTGTAGCGTGGTGTGGTGTGGTATGGTGGGGTGTAGCGTGGTGTGGTGTGGTATGGTGTGGTGTAGCGTGGTGTGGTGTGGTATGGTGGGGTGTAGCGTGGTGTGGTGTGGTATGGTGTGGTGTAGCGTGGTGTGGTGTGGTATGGTGTGGTGTAGCGTGGTGTGGTGTAGTATGGTGTGGTGTGGATGTACCTGTGTGGTGGTGGTGTTGGCCAGGAGCCTCAGCATGTGTATCAACAAGTAGTGATTCAGCTACGATAAATTCCTCTTCTGTATTCTCATTCTCTTTAATATCTTCTTCTTCTTCTTGTTTCTTCTCTGTGTCTCTCTTTCTCCTTAAATTGAAGATATTTTCCCTGTTTCTGTCCTCCAAAAAACTGTCACTTTCTGAAGGGAATTTGAAAGCTCTGAGTAATGGAGGTTTGATGGCCTGAGACAATGAGGCGTCCAAGATGGGAACCTCATCATAGCTCTCTTCTTCTTCCCTCTGCGTCGTCTTCTTAACTTCTCTTCTCTTTCTTCTTAATATTTTATCTCTATTTCTGTTTTCGTCGAAGCCATCAACATCATGGAGGCCAAGTTCAGAGGTCGTCTTGGGAGGTACCTCAGGGAGAAAGGCATCGTGAGGGACCCGGGTTATGGGGAAGGGGACTTGCTCGAGGGTTATTCTGATTGGTCTGCTGTCAAAGTCCAGTTTGTTTGTATGACCAATCAGCGGCCTCGCCAGTGAGATCATCACCGCCAGCACCAACCACAGCTCCTGTAAGTGAAATATGAAGTGACGTCATTGATAACATAAACACAAAATTATACTTTATCAATAAAAAAACAACATAACATTGAACAAACACCGCAAGAACTTTGATAAGAAATTTATCACCAACCACAGTAGCTAACCACTTCAACCATTACAACTAACCACCACTAACCACCTCAACTACCACAACTACTACCACCCCTCGCCCATTGTGGTTAGGTTAAGTCCACTAATTGTCCAATATTATTATTTGTTGTACTGAATGAGATATAGATCTACAGAGTTAATTAATTATGTGTGTGTGTGTGTGTGTGTGTGTGTGTGTGTGTGTGTGTGTGTTCTGTTATGAAGGCTGGTGACCAAGATAGATGGATAGAGAGAGAGAGAATGTCCACAACTAACAACCTCAACAATAATCACACAGACACACTCACACTCCACACACACTCACACAAGACACTCACACTCCACACACACTCACACAGACACACTCACACTCCACACACACTCACACAGACACACTCACACTCCACACACACTCACACAACACACTCACACTCCACACACACTCACACAAGACACTCACTGCACAACACAAACACCTCACTTATAACAATTAAAACCAAAATACACCTTAACACTCCCTTATTTAGTCCATGTCAACACACTGTAAATTATTGCCAGTAATTATGCGAGAATTACATATTTAATCTCGTCTATTTCAACATATATACATCTCAGTTGAGTAATTATGTGATTATTACACGTAAGACTCTCACAGGTTGTCTACTCCAACAGAAACACGTCATTTAGACAGGAAAATACTTGTAAGGTTTGTGGTAAAGCTTGATGTAAATGAAGGGAAAGTTACCCGTTAAATACAGACTCTTGGGTCTTCTTGTCTCCGGGTCTGACATTAGTTTTGGCTCCGTTTTCTATACAAGGTCGCGGTTATGGCTGAGGTGATGTGGTATATTTTTAACTATATTTTCTTTTATCTTGTGTCTTGGTAATTAGTCTTGTAGAGTTTTAGAGTTTACTTGTGAGAGACAGTCAGCAGGTGAGTAATATTTAGGGTAATTAATATTGAATAAGCCTATACTTACCTGACTCATGGGCGAGTAAGGGGTGACTTAATTAACAGCCTAGAGGACGCCCGGCCTACAGCTTTAGGTTGAAGAAGCCACAAGTTTGAAATATTTTCAGGACAAACCGTCGACTCGTCATCTCTCCAATAGTCTCAACACATTTGACCACATTATCATTTTCTTTGGTGGCGAGGGAGTGTGTGTTGTGGTCACGTGCGGGTGTATGACAGACACACACTGATGGTCGGCATTAATTACACGGCGGTGAATGTGTGTGTGTGTGTAAGAGGACCTGCATACCTACTGCTCACAGACGCTGATACACACTTCGGCCTTGAGGTGAGTGTGTGGTAGTAGTAGTAGTCGTAGTAGTAGTAGCAGTAGTAGTGGTAGTAGTAGTAGTCGTAGTAGTAGTAGTAGTAGTAGTCATCGTTGGAGAACATTTTGTTAGTGAACAGAAGTTAACAGCCATCAGAGGCGAATGCTCTGTTGTTGAACAATGATGAACACTTTCCACCACACAACAGGCAGGTGGTAAGCGAGGCGAGAAACTGCTAATCTTCACCAATATCTCGACTTTTCCCTCATATTTCTTATTTATTTTAGGTAACAGATTGTCTTCTTCACTTATCTTCCTGTTTTAGTGTTTTGGTAAATTGTAGGAGTGATTTAGAGGCATAAGGTAGGCACAGAATGTGTAATGGTGCAGAGAAACGAGAAATAGTTGGAAAGAACGCCTGTCATTGGTGGGAACAGTTGCTTGTAGGACCAATCATGGATTAGATTTATTTGTTTATGCTACTACTACTACTACTACTGCTACTATTACTACTACTACTAGACACGTCGACTGGTGAAAGTGATGCCTACGAGATATGCGAAGGTTAGTGTTTATGTTGTGGTGGTGAAGAGGAAAGGTCGCTCTATTTTGTGTGATGACCTTGAGAGAGAGAGAGAGAGAGTACATGGATCATTGTATGAGTGTATATAATGATGCTTACATGAGTATACGTGTGCATATGTGCCCAGTGCATGTGTGTGTGTCCGTGTGTGTGTATGAGCGTCCAGTAACGTGTATGAAAGTCGGTTTGTGTGCGTAATTGTGCGTCTGTGAGCGTATATAAGTCATATGGGTGTATGTATACAATTGTGAGCGTGTAAGTGCGTCCCTGGGCGTGTATGAAAGTCAGTGTGTGTGTGTGTGTGTGTACAACAGATGGGCGCCAGATGGTGAACTCTCGCTCACCCACCGGCCCGGTTTCCCTTGTGGTGAGCCAGCTTATTCGCCTTACCTGTCTCTTACACTGATGTTATTAGGATTAAGCATTTTTTAAATTTGTTAGTATTTCATCCCCTATAACCACTCCCAGGGAGACTATCACCCTCTATAACCACTCCCAGGGAGACTATCACCCTCTATAACCACTCCCAAGGAGACTATCACCCTCTATAACCACTCCCAGGGAGACTATCACCCTCTATAACCACTCCCAGGGAGACTATCACCCTCTATAACCACTCCCAAGGAGACTATCACCCTCTATAACCACTCCCAGGGAGACTATCACCCCTAGTACCACCCCAGATGGACTATCACCCCCAAGGGCCACCCCAGAGGGAGTATCACCCCTAGTACCACCCCAGAGGGAGTATCACCCCCTATAACCACCCCAGAGGGACTATCACCCCACACCCCAGAGGGATCACCCCCTATAACCACCCCAGAGGGACTATCACCCAACACCCCAGGGACTAGCACCCCAAGGGCCACCCCAGAGGGCCTATCACACCTAGTACCACCCAGATGGACTATCACCCCAAGGGCCACCCCAGAGGGACTAGCACCCCAAACACCCCAGAGGGCCTATCACCCTAGTACCACCCAGAGGACTATCACCCCAAGGCCACCCCAGAGGGACTAGCACCCCATACAACCACCCAGAGGGCCTATCACCCCTAGTACCACCCCAGAGGACTAGCACCCCAAGGGCCACCCCAGAGGCCTATCACCCTAGTACCACCCCAGAGGGACTATCACCCCGGCCACCCCCAGAGGGACTAGCACCCCCAAGGGCCACCCCAGGGCCTATCACCCCTAGTACCACCCCAGAGGGACTATCACCCCAAGGGCCACCCCAGGGCCTATCACACCCAGCCACCCCAGAGGACTATCACCCCGGTACACCCAGAGGGACTATCCCCTAGTACCACCCCAGAGGGACTATCACCCCTAGTACACCCCAGAGGGACTATCACCCCAAGGACACCCCAGAGGGCCTATCACCCCAAGGCACACCCCAGAGGGACTATCACCCCAAGGACCACCCCCAGAAGGACTATCACCCCTAGTACCACCCCAGAGGGACTATCACCCCTAGTACCACCCCAGAGACTATCACCCCTAGTACCACCCCAGAGGGACTATCACCCCAGTACCACCCCAGAGGGACTATCACCCCCAAGGGCCACCCCAGAGGGCCTATCACCCCAAGGACCACCCCAGAGGACTATCACCCCTAGTACCACCCCAGAGGACTATCACCCCTAGTACCACCCCAGAGGACTATCACCCCTAGTACCACCCCAGAGGACTATCACCCCTAGTACCACCCCAGAGGGACTATCACCCTAGTACCACCCCAGAGGGACTATCACCCCAAGGGCCACCCAGAGGACTATCACCTAGTACCACCCCAGAGGACTATCACCCCAAGGACCACCCCAGAGGGACTATCACCCCAGGTACCACCCCAGAGGGACTATCACCCCAGTACCACCCCAGAGGGACTATCACCCCAAGGGCCACCCCAGAGGGACTATCACCTAGTACCACCCCAGAGGGACTATCACCCCAAGGGCCACCCCAGAGGGACTATCACCCCTAGTACCACCCCAGAGGGACTATCACCCCTGAGAAGCAACCCAGAAAACCTTCCGGGGTCTATTTTCCATAATGAATATTTCAGTTCATTATTACTTGAAAAATGGTAGTAGTAGTAGTAGTAGTAGTAGTAGTAGTAGTAGTAGTAGTAGTAGTAGTAGTAAAATGCAGGTGTGGCTATTGGGGGAGGCTGGAGGCCACGCTGGTAGTATTAGTAGTAGTAGCGGTAGTAGTAGTAGTAGTAGTAGTAGGGTAGTAGTAGTAGTAGTAGTAGTGGTAGTAGTAGTAGTAGTAGTAGTAGTAGTAGTAGTAGTAGTAGTAGTAGCCTTAGTAGCCTCAGTAGTCGTCACTTCTCTAAGTCAATTAACACTCAATATCAAGAGACAAAACACAAACTTGTGACGTCACTTACCATCTTACGGGTGTTCCCATCTCGTCTTCTTCTCTTCTAACACCAGCAACACATCAGGCAGAAGCGGTCACTCGATGGCTTATTCACACCTCCAAACGCCCAAAATAACGCTGGACTATCATAAAAAGTCACTGAATAAGAACGCGCGCTTGAAGGATTTTATCGGCTGTGGATTCAGTCAGCTTCTGTACCTTCCCCCAACTCGTGTCCGGCTCTGCTGAGTTATTCCGTGGTACTGAGCTCTGTAGTTGAGTAATTAGACTTATATAGCATGGGTGGTTGGTGAGAGATGTGAGAGGTGCGGTGGGGGGTGAGAGACGGCTTGACTGGGTTGTTTTCAGCGACAATAACAAAGGGCGAGAGATGGTTGAGGTGCCTTCAGTCCGCCATCTTGGTTTATCTTCAAGATCTTCTACCAGCTAGTTGCCAGATCATTTTCAACCATATTAAGTAGCCCATATCCTACCTGACCTCGTCATTTTAATATTAACCATCTAAATAAAAAAAATCGATCATTATAAGTTGAAAATAGACCAAAATTATATAAACTAAAGCTAAATAAAATAGATGAAATAATACCCTCGTTGGCATCCCTCCCTAAGACACTTTCACCAGAGTCCTCAACATGGCGGCTTCTTCAGCCCTCAATGACGTCACGACCATCATTTTCACGTATTTTAAGTAATAATTAGGCCAAACAGGGTCATATGACGGCTGTTTGGGGTCGGCGGTCGGTGTTTACACGTTAAAAGTCGTCCATCTGTTGTATTTAAGAGTGAAATTTAAGTGTACATGTGAATTATCTAAATGTACACTCCTAAGGTGCTGAGTCTACACACACACACACACACACACACATGTCTGTCTTCTCTGTCTGTATGTTCTTGTGTGTGTGTGTGTAATGGGAAAATGGTTGTCTGTCAGCTTATTTCTGAGATAGATAGGAGAGAGAGAGAGAGAGAGAGAGAGAGAGAGAGAGAGAGAGAGAGAGAGAGAGAGAGAGAGAGAGAGAAGATATATAGATAGGAGAGAGAGAGAGAGAGAGGAGAGAGAGAGGAGAGAGAGAGAGAGAGAGAGAGACCCCATTATTTACCGTAGGACCCAGCACACTATCAGAGCCCTGGGGAACACCTTGACGAAAGACGAAACAACAATGACCTTTAGCAGAAGGCCATAAAGACGGTCTATGTGTGTGTGTGTGTGTGTGTGTGTGTGTGTGTGTGTGTGTGTGTGTGTGTGTGGAAACTCCACATTGCCAAACACGAGTCTGAAACAAACGCTCTAATCACACTTGTCATTTGTGTAATTTTTCTAATTTTATAACATAGACAGACAGACAGAGAAAGGGAGAAACAGAAATAATGAGATGCAGAAAAAGAGAGAGAGAGAGAGAGAGAGAGAGAGAGAGGTTCAGCCTTGTTATAAGTTCAACAACTGGTCATGGTTGTCACCTTGTGTGCCTGTCAAATGAAGTTGTTCTTCTCTGTCTGTCTGTATGTATGTGTCATTCTCTGTCTGTCTGTCTGTCTGTTTTTCCATATCTACCTGTCTGTTTGTGCCTGTCATTTCTCTCTGTCTACCAGTCTCTCTCTCTCTACACACACACAGCCTCCGCTAATCACTAGGGTGTTAACTTCCCAACTACCATTAATGTAATTAAGTTAACCAGTGTAACCAAGGAGAAAATATTCCCTTGACCATACAATGATAGTTATAGTAGTGGGGGAATACTTC